ACCGAACAGCGAGTACACGAAAGCACACATTGACATCTTGAGCTTTAAACCCTAAACCTGAAGCCGTAAATGACCCTAAACCCTAAACCCTAAACCCTAAACGCTAAACCCTAAACCCTAAACCGTGTAAAGCAGCGACGGTTTGAGCCGACAGCAAAGCCGTCCTTGATGGGTCAGGTCATGGAGGCCATCGGCTCCTATGGCAAGGGCATGATCGACATGGAGGCCAGTGGACTCATGTGGGTGGTTGTCAAAATTAGGGGTACCTTATTTTGGGGTCCTTATAATAGGGATCCTACTATTTAGGGTACCATATTAGGGTCCCCTATTTGCGGAAACCCCCATGTCAATGTCCATTGTGACTTCGGGGTTTAGTGCTAGGGAACTTTGGGTGTAGCTTTCGTTTTGGGAGAAACATTTTTGTATTTGTCGCAGGCGGGTTGTGGCATTGGTGAGAAAGGGCCATATCTTAAGCCCCGAAATTGAAACCTCACACAACACCCCAAGAACCCCAAACCCTAAACCCTAAACCCTAAACCCTAAACCCTAAACCCTAAACCCTAAACCCTAAACCCTAAACCCTAAACCGACAAAGGAGCTACACACCGTGGAGTGCCACTCTCTGCCAGGGAGCCCAGCCCTCAGAGACAGTGAAGTTCAGGCATCGAAAGGGGATATCAATTTAGGGCGGTTTAGGGTTTAGGGTTTAGGGTTTAGGGTTTAGGGTTTAGGGTTTAGGGGTCGGAAGAACTGGCAATAGGATCTCTTCCTGGTGCCCATTATGCATGAGAAACATCAGAAACCCGATTCCAATTATGAAGGTCTGTATCAGTCGGTACTGGATTCCTTTTGCATGACAAAATCTCGGGAGCCTAAATCCAGAATCGTCCTGCAGTAACATTGTTGTTAGCAGTCTACCTGGTGCACTGGGTGTTCTGACTTGGCTGCAAGCACAGTTTGTGCGACTACCCATCCAGATGATGGTGATGGTGCAAGCAAGTTGCTAGAACACGCTCCAGAATCTATCAGTGCAACCCTGAGTTGCCTTCGGGGCCATGCATAACCCAAGACACCACACAAGTGCTGGAACTGATTCCATAACCTAACAGCACCGCCGGGCAATGCACCCTAAGCCCTAAAAGCCCTGAACTGAACCGGTCAGGTGGCACTTGCGCAGCAATGTTCACTGCTTGCACGATGCCAGGACCTCAAGAAACCTTATATCACCTTATGAATCCTATAGTACTACAAAACTCAGGTTACAGACCCTGATAAACATGCATAGAACGCTCAAAGAAGCTTCCAGAATCGGCACAGGCTTTTGCTTAGGATGGTGCTAAATTCGGTGTTCGTGACGTGGCCTAGGGTCAGCTTTCGCAGCTTGGGTCTTGGAGTGAAGCTTCCGGGATGCGGAACGCCAAACTCTCTGAGCCGTAGCTAGCCCCTGATTAGTATAATGATAGTACTGATATTCATGATTGCTTCCACTTCTGCTTCTACTACTACTGCTACGACGACCAACCGGCTTCATCTTCTTGTTCTGTTACCACGACTGCGACTACTATGACTCCGACGACTGCGAGGACGACTTCTGCGACTGCGACGACTATCACCAGCAATCTTCCTGCGTGTTTTTGTTTCATCATTCTTATTGTTGATGCTATTGGTCTTAGAATTATTGTTGCTACTGTTTTCATGACTGTTCATACTGTCATGGTGGTAAATTTGTTATTGCTACTATCCTTAGTATTCTTGCTATTGTTATTATGACTGAACACTAGGATTACTATTATCATCATTATTACTACCATTGTTGCTATTCTTATGGCTGCTCTAACTATTGCTTTACTGTTCCAATCTCATTGCGGTCGCTGCTGGTGCCCAGGGCTTCGGTGGTTGAAGCCCGGCGCCCAAAGCTGGGACCAGGGTGGAGATTTTTGTTACCAGGGCCCCTAAACCCCAAAACCCTAAACCCTGAACCCTAAACCCTAAACCCTGAACCTCCACCCTGTACCGAAGCCTTAAACCCTAAACCTCGGTTTATAGAGGTTTTGGGTGTAGGGCTTGAGAGATGCAGCGCTTGGCAGGGTTTTCGGAGGTCTATGGGCGTTCACCGAGTTTTATCGGGGTTTAGGATCCGAATATGCGGGGGTGGTGTTGCTCTGCCTTGCGCTCTCCCGATAGAACCCTAAACCCCTAAGCCTTAAACCCTCAAGCCCTAAACCGAGCCGGCGCCAAATCCTTAAGGCCCCTATCTTAAAAGCCTTAAGCCAGCCCCATCAATCCGTAAAAAGCATCAGAAAACTTGCAAAAGTTGTATATCGTCCCAAATAAGGCGAAATCAAGAAGCCTCAAAACCTTCAGCCCGGAAGCTCCAAACCCTGAAGCCTCAACCCCAAAGTTCTTGTGACGTCGAGTCCTGGCTGGATCTCAAGGCTTTGGGCATGTCCCTGCCTGGCAGCGCCCGGCCTCCTAGAGGAGGGCCCCCGGAACCGAACGGATGTGTTTCGGGTTCCCAATAGGGGTTCCCATTGAAGGGGGTTCCGACAAGGTTCCACATGCAGGCCCCAAACCCTAAACCCTAAACCCTAAACCCTAAACCCTAAACCCTAAACCCTAAACCACCATAAGGGGCTACTATAAGGGCTTCTACAAGGATGACTCTGAGGGATGCTGTAAGGGTTTCAGCTGTTGGAGGTTTTATAAAGGTTTGTAAGAGCTTGTAAGATATTGGTAGGGGCCTATACGCCTCTGTCCATAACTGCTGTCGATTTTGGCTACCCTTGCATAACTTTTGTATTGCAGTCATTCGGATTGGTTATGAGTTTTGCTGCTTAGTGCACGTATTGTATGAGTATGGTTGCTTACTCCACCGCTGCCAGCTGCTGCTACTACTACGATGATTACTAGCACGATTATTGCCATCCTAATCCTTCCGCTGCAATCACGGCTTTCTGTTTCAATGGCAATATCCATCCTTATGACTCTGATTGGCCTTGTCACTATCGTCGCATGTGGTAGTGCTCTGCTTCTGCTGAGGCAAGCACGCCGGCAGCAACGCGAGAAGACCCTCGTTCAGTCACGGATCAGAAGCGACAGGAGACGAGCAGTAATTAAGAACACGATCGAAAGCAGACCTTCATAACAATGTCAGTAGCAGCAAAAACAGCAGTCTTTTTCAGACATGCAGTAACAAGAGCCCGTTGTAACAGCCATAGAACAGTAGCAGTAGTAGCAGCAACAGTAGTCGTCTGCAGTATTATTATTATTATTGTTATTAGTATTAGTAGTAGTAGTAGAAGTAGTAGTAGTAGTAGTAGTAGTAGTAGTAGTAGTAGTAGTATGTAGTAGCAGCAGCAGCAGTCATAGCAACATGCATTCGAGTAGTACTCACCTGGAAAGGATTGCGCTGCCACCGTCGCAGCCCTGTTCTCTTTGGCAGAAAAGGGATTGTCGGCCCCCCAATGTGTGCGACTGGCATGCACCACGCAGATGCTTGAGCGGTGACTGTGTGGTTCAGGGTTGAAGATCCAAGCTTAGAGGGCTTTGGATTTAGGGTTCAGGGTTTATTTCAAGTCATGAGCATGCTCACACACGGTATATGCAGACCGGAAACATTTACCAACTCTTGATGCCAACAGCCTGGCAGGGCATCAACTCGCAATGCGGGTGTGAAGCCTAGGCCGTTTTTCGCCCAGGGTTCCCACGGACAGCGCCTCCAAGCATGAACCCCTGAACCCCATATCCTAAACCCCAAAGCCCTAAACCCTAAACCCCGAAACCGTTTGTCTCAAGGGAAAAGACACACGAACACAGTAGCTGCCCGGCCCTCGCTTCGAGCAGCACCGCGGAGAAATGGGCAACTCGGAAGGAAATTTTTCGTCACAGGGTTTAGGGTGGGGGTTTGAGCAAAAGGGGGGTTCGTAGGTTTCAGTAAGGATTAGGGTCCTAGAATCAGGAGCATATTCCGGAATCCTAAACCCTGCCGTCTTACAAGCCTCCGTAGAAACACGATTGTGACGACGATAGGGGGTTCATGATCATGATGATGATGATGATGCCGCTGATGATGATGGTGGATGTTCTCATTACCTATCACGTCTGGTGTTTCGTTTCTTCTTATAGTAATTAGTAATGCTTGCAACTGGTTTGCTATCTGGGTTTGTTACCCTTTGACATGCGCCATTGCTACAGGTTTGGGGTTTGGGTGTCCGTAACATGGCTCTTTGTCCTTTCTAAGTCGATTTGATGTGTTGGGCTGTTGTCACTAAAGCTTTGTGGCTTGCTTACTCGTTACGGTGTAGGTGATTGTGCTAACTAACTACTCTTCATCAAGGTCACCATGTTCTTGTTCATACCATTGCTTGGTTCCGCCGCGCAAATTTCGCCATCCTTTGGGCAGTTGTTTTCACTCTCCTAAAGGCTTGCTTTCTCTTCCACTTTCCTACGAGGAGTCTTTTCCATATCAGTTCGCTGATTCCCCGAACGGCTAGACTTAAACCACCAAAACCCAAAACCCTAAACCCTGAACCCTGGACCCAAAACCAGAGCCCTAGCTTGCGAAATCCTGGACCCTAAGCCCCCGGAATCCGAGAGCAACGAAACCCCAAGCAGCTAGGGCCCGACTCGGACCCTTACTACTCTTGATGATCTAAAATCCTGCATTACCTTAAGGGCCCTAAACGGTGGGAATGATGGTCGTATTCTGTATTATGAGGTAGTGTAGAATTTATACCCTAAACCCTAAACCCTAAACCCTAAACCCTAAACCCTAAACGTAGCAGAGGGTTTACGGAGTCGGAGTCCCGGGCCTAGGGTTTCCATTCGAGCTCCTCTTGCTTGTGATGCGAGTCTTGCCATGACAGCCTTCGTGCCAGGGTTTAGGGTTTAGGGTTTAGGGTTGAGGGTTTAGGGTTTAGGGCTCTTGGGTTAGAAACAGACTCCCCAAAAACCAACGCTGCTGTGAATTGTACGAGCACAGCTTGGCGACTGACCCTGATGTAAATAGTATTATTGTTCTCATTCGCTGCTTTTGCTTTTCTGTTTTCTTCATAGGATCCTTCCTGTGCGTTGTTTGAGCCATGCCTTCGAAGTTTGCGGCTTCCTGACCTGCACAGGCCTAGAGGAGGAGTTCTGCAGTTTAGGTTTTAGAAGGGTTTAGGGTGTGCGGTTTAGGGTTTAAGGTTTACGGGCCCAGGCAAGGAATAGAGTCCCCATAATTAGAATAGGGTTTGGGGGATAATTCTACTATAGTTATAATTAGGAACCCCCAAAACCATATTCTAATTATTAAGGCCCCGACATTAGGCCACAGCTGCTGGGGGCCCCTCCAACTTTTCATCCCACAGGCTGGCACGCGGACAACCAGCCCTCCGCACCTGACTGGAACCCCAAAACCCTAAACCCTAAACCCTAAACCCTAAACCCTAAACCCTAAACCCTCAACCCTAAACCGTGACTGGAACCCTGAACTCTGGGGCCCAGCGGCTAGAGCCGTTAGTTCTAGGCCCAACACCCGGAAGCTGGCAGAATATACTATATTACTATACGGGGATCTATCATAAGGTTCTATTGTAGGGGCCTATAAGGGTTTAGGGTTTAGGGGCCTTAATAACATACTACAAGAATACGATAATGTACCATATTATACCATGACATACTTTCAGAATCCTCTCATCTGTCTCTTGATTTCTTGAGATCTCAGGCAAGTTCATCAAGGCAGGGCGCGTCGTCGTGATGCTCCAGGCAGGGTTAGGGCCCGTTAGGGTTTAAGGTGTAGGGTTTAGGGTTTAGGGTTTAGGGCTCAGGGCAAGGCGTAGAAGCATCCACCTGGACAGTGCTACGAACCAAACTCCAAAGGCCTAGGACTGCCCGAAAGCCCGAGGGAGCTCTGGGCTCTAGGTTGTTCGTGGATTGACTTGAGCGGATTCGTTCTGTGTGCCATGACTCGGTACAGGGTTCAGGCATGAGGGTTCTCTGAACGCACGTTGAGTATGTACACACATGGCAAACATGGGCAAGTCTGGGCGCCACTCATGAGTACGCATACGAATCATATGAGCGGTCCAGTATGACGCCCCACATAGAGGTGATTTGAGGCGGTTGGAGTGAACAGTGTTCGACGCCAGAGATCTCCGGTGGCTTCGGCTTTTGTGAAGAACAGGACAAGCGGTGTCGAACATGGCATGGACATGCCTAAGAAATGCTGGCCCAGAGGTCGATCTCGTGGGTTGGCAAAGGTGCTGGGTCACAGGTGGGGCAGCAATAGAGCGACTTTTAATTGCACGCGGGTATAACCTTTGTTCAAGCCCGAATGCGTTTACACTGCTGAGCACTCAGTACTTTCGCCTTACTTCCAGCTGCCCATGAGCCCTGCAAAGGGTTTAGGGGTTCAGGGCTTAGGGGGTTTAGAGTTTAGGGGTTT